GCATCCCCCTGTGATGGTGGGTTTGGGCGGCGGTCCGACTCCCCCGGCGCTGCGCGCGCTGTGCCGCCTGTGAGGATTTGGGCGAATTCTACGAATGTCCTCGACAATGTCCCCCCCCTCCCCTTGCCGCCCCCCTGCGCGCGCCCGGGGCGCCGTGTCCTGGTCCTGCTGGCGGGCAGGGGGCGCGCTGGCATGCGCAGTTTGACCCCGAGCTGAGGGTGGTGGGCCTGGACCTGCTGGCGCCCAAGGGCCTTGCCGGGCCTGGGGGCGGTGCTCCGAGCCCGCCCCGGAGGCCCCGCTGGGCCCCGACGCGCGGCGCCGGAGGCATGCCCCAGGAAGCCTTTTCCAAGGGCGATGCCCTTTGGAATGAGGCTTATCAGGCGAGGCGGTGCCGACCCCTTTCTGCCGCAACTTGTCGGAGAAATGCCTGGGCGATCTCCGCGGCGCCGACGAGTGCGCGGCGCCGGAATACCATGGGGGCAACGTGGGCGCAGTGACAAGGGGTGCCCAGGATTTCAGGATGATTATCATTGCCTTGCGACGGAGGGGCATTGGCAAGATCGCCCTCTCCGTGTAAGTGCCATCGGAGATTCTTAGAGTGATGGTGGGCCCCGCCTGGTTGCGGGAGTTCGGTCGGAGGTGGCCTCGAGGGCCTTCGCCAACTGGGCCAATGCGTTCGTGCCCAACTGCGCCGTCTCGAGCAATGTGGAGAAGCGCCCCGCGGGCTCCTCCGCATGGCGCTGTTCGTTCGTCGCGCGCGTCGCCTTCCCGTTCGGGCCCCCCTCTCTTGCGGGTTTGCGCCTGGCGAGAGAAATGGCGGGGGGGGGGGGGCGGCGGGCGGGGCGCTCGCGCGCGTGATGCGCCCATGCTGGCGCGCGGTGGTTCGCGGAGGTCTGCTCGGAGGCGGCTCTTTTCGCCCGCCGCCGCGGGCCTTCGCGGCCGTCGGTCAGAGGCGCGAAAACCCCGCGATGGCCGCGCGCGCCGTGGGCAGGGGCGCCGCTCGGGAAGGCTTTGCTCCGCGAGTCCCGCGACGCCGCCAGCCCCTTCGGGCGAGGGCGCGAGCTGGACCTCGAGCGGAGGAGTGCGCGTCTGACTCGAAGCTGGTGGGGGGGTGGTTGATGCCGGCGCGTTCTTCGTGGCGGATATCTCCTTGCAGCGGGGCTCGCTCTAGCCGCGATCGCCCCGGCGGCGCTCGACGAGACGGCTGCGCGGCGTGGGTGGAGGGGTTCCACGGGCGGCGCGTCGGGGCCTGAAGCGCAGAGCTACCGCGTCGCAGTGCAGAAGTGGACAGCAGTCGAACCACGTGCTGACAGTGGTGCGATGCTCGTCCGAATGGGCAGGTTCCCAGTGATTGACGTGTCGTTGGGCAGCTTCGTGGGCGACGCTGTCCGCGGCCCAGCTGCTCGACCAGGCCGCGACCCCTCGGGGGATCTAGGCGGCGTCGCGGCGGAGCGACGCCGGCCTGGGCCAGGCGTTGGCGGCGCGGGGGCTCGGTCAGAACAGGTCGAAGCAGGGCGTGGTGCCAGCGGGCTCATCGCGACAATTGGCGCACAAAGCTGTGCGAGACTCTCTCGGCCGTAGGTGCAGAGGCGGCCTGGGCCCCGCGCGCCTCGGGGCCTGGTTCAATGCAGTGGCTGGCAGCGCGGGCGAGCTGCAGGCCAGGCTGACCGCTATTGACAAAGGGCGGATGATGGCGCAGTG